GTGGATGAGGATGAGGAGGGGGGTGGACAGGAAGGGTGGGGAGGGAGCTGCGTAACTCAGCCGAGCATGAGGGAGGATGGACGGTGGCGCAAACGCCAGGAGACGTGTGTGTGTGTGTTTGTGTGTGTGGGGTGGCGCTTGGAACGCATGCGTGCGCACACAGAGGAGAGGTTATTAAATATATAAGGTTACAGAGGCTGACCCGTTTTTCCCGCGTCCTCTCTCCCCCCCCCCCCTGCTCCAAAACACCCGAATAAACCTGCGCGTCATCGGCCAAGCATCCCGTAGCTCCCACCACATATCAGACACTTACGTTCCACACGGTTTCAGGTTGGGGGGGGGGGGGCCGCGGCTAAAGCGGGCTCCAGGGGGGCCGTGCGTAAAGTTTCAAGATGGGTCTGAAGGTCAGGGACGAGCACCGACACGCACGTCCTCTGACCGGCCACACAGAGGTGTAGGCAGCCTGTATACCCGCCAGGGAAGTGCGCAGTCATCAGAAAACGGTCAGCGGCGGGGTCATGCCCTGCCTCTGTAAGCATTATCCCGGAGCACAGAGGAGAGTCCCGACACGGAGAAGCTCTGAAGTACCCACAGCCCCAAGTTGGCGGCTGCTGCTGCAGCCCTGCCTCAAAACGGACACACGGAGAAAGATAAGCAGCAAGACGTGTGGTCGTTCTCTTATTTTCCCAGTGCACTGATCTGAACTGAGACTGGAGTTGCTTAGAGTCTAACAAAAGTGACAAAGGGCTGTTGTTGTTTTTTTTATTGATATGATTTATCTCCCTTATCCTTTGCGTTCCTTGGTACGCCTTTTTATTTTCCAGCTGAGCAAGACGTTTTCAGCTCGCCACCTGGAAGCCTCTGCACGGTCAAGATGATCCACGGATTGATCGATGATCGCGTCAGGAGATCTGCAGCCTGCTACACCTCCAGCTCTCCCTATACTGATCTACAGTAGGCTATGTCAGATTACCGTCAGTCACGAAGACGCGTGAACCTGATCCAAGTTTCCAAATCGTTATTCCCCCAGATGAAGGGATTTCACATGAATAAAAAAACACACCTTGACATTACAAAAGCCTCTGAAGGTTTTTTTTAATCTAATTTCTCATCTCCCCTGGGGTTGATCAACATTAGCGTTTTTTGGGGGGGGGCTCTAAGATCTCTCGGTGACCATGGGTGGACGTTTGATGGCAGACGGGCAGGCGGCCATCAGATCAGCAGTCTCTCTCTTTCTTACCTTGGTGAGCTGGGCGATCTTCTTGCACATCTTGCTGTGCATCTGGTAGTCGTACAGCTCCTGCTCGATATTGGAGAACTCTGCCGCAGTGGTCCCGTTCACGGCGGAGCCCTGCCCGGGGGGCTGTGCAGCCTTGCCGGCGCCCGAAGCCATAACGAAAGCCCACTCCCGGGGGGAAACTTCCCCAGAAAGGGTGGATTGTCAGCAAACACACGGATAAGGATTCCCCACCGAAACAGCGTCGACCCGCTACCGGCGCATCTCATTCCGCTGCCCGCACGCGCTCCCCCGTCAGCGGCATCTCCAGGAATCCGCCGCGAAACATTTGGGCCGGGGATCGCTCGGGCTGCTGCCCCCCTCTCCCGCCGTCCGCCCGGTGTTGGCCGAGGAGGTCACACGCTGGAAGTCCATCGGGGACGCGCTCGCGCCGGCCGACCCTTTCCCCCCCTGCTGTCAACAGATAGGCCTATGTATATATAAATGTATTTCCCCCCCCTCGTTATTCTAATAGGGAGCGCGCGGGGATGAAGGCGCACGGTCCAACCACCTGTCTCGCGGCAGGGGCGGAGAGGGGCGTGTGTATCTGTGGAACATTACCGGAGACAGCTCGAGAGGCGCACTGCTGCAGTGCCCGCCCCTCCCTCCCGGCGCTGCCGTATCGATGCCGATCGCGAAGGGAGGAAGGGGAGGGGGGAGGGAGGGAGGGAGGGGGAGGTGGTCCCGGGGGTCCACCGCGATCACTCAGATACACAAGCACACGGACACGCAGTGGGTGTTTTTTTTCTGTTTGTTGCAGAAGCCGTAGGCCCAGGGCAAAAACACACTTCCCACTGTGAGTCTATTGAGCACATCTTCAGGGTACGGTGGCCCCGAGGTGAAAAACACCGATAGATCATATCGGGCGAAAAAAACAATTCCGCCAAACAAAAATGGATCGAAAGGGGGAAAGAACCCATTGTCACTTGTTTATCAGAAGAAATACTCACTTTTCTTTTCACAGAATATGACTAAAATGATAACTAAACAAAAAATTGGATAACACAATGTGGTATTTGATGTTTTTATAGTGTGGCTATTTTAAGGGGTTGTGTTCTCTGAGCTGCTTCTTAATGTACTTAATTTGTGCAACTTTGTTTAGTTTGGGTTTTTTTTACTTCTTTTTGTGAAATGTGTTTTTGTTTTGTTTTTTAAGTTTGTGTGGTTGTGGCTTTCTTGTGTTTCCTGTTTTTATTATGTGTTTATTGTGGCCTCTCCAACTGTAAACTTGGAATATCCTTGTGCTTTCTAAATTGTTACTGTTTTGTAATTGTTTTTTTTTTTTAACCCACTTTGTTCATGGAACTTCATGCCTAAAAAAAAGAAGCCACACCAACGGTCCACATTCAAACTGCAGGAAATGTAGACATCTGACAATAGGGGTACCTTTTAACTGTCAGGTGATGCATCCCAAAATGAGAAATGATCTTGCAGAATGAATAAAAATCCAAAATCATCCCATTTAGCTGGTTTATATTTAGCTAGAGTGTGAGATTGCTCGCACACCACGCAAAAAAGAAGCTGACCAGCTCCCTGTCTTCAGTTATCCTACATTATTCTAGAGATGAGATGTGTTCTCCTAGAAGTCTGAGGTGGAATCCAGAGAAAATCACTGCTATCCTCACAGTCCTCCTTGTTAGATGCTCGACCTTGGTCTAACAGATATATGATGGTGTCTTTTAATCCAAAATGACTAAAAAAACTGTAGCATTTCCGGCAAGGGATTACTTTCTTACTGAAGTAACTAACTGAACTTTCATCATATTAGAACAACCTTTCCTTAAAGTCACTAACGGTGCATGGATGATAATTTAGATACCAGAACAAAGCAGGATGTCTTCCACATTTGAACTTTCTCCTGACACGGGCTAAGTTTGAAGAGATGACGTAGCATTCCACATAGCTGTTCTGCACACGCTTTAGCACCCCGGGGCTAACGCCATCTGGACCTGCCGTTTTGCTCCAGTTCAGTCTCTCCACCTGGCTAATGGCAACGGACAGACTGAATGAGGAAGCACAGGACCAGGACGAAGGAAACCTGGGCATTTGCCTAGATTTCAGCATGAGTCTGAGGAGAATTTACAGAAAGATACCTGCCAGACATTAAGTCCGGTAAGGTTCAACAGCGTAAAGTCTTTAGATGTGACATTTTAGACATCAGTATTTCAAAGACGAACTCAAAGTTATTTTTCTTTGGCTCTTTTCCATTCACTTTTCTTGAGTCATATACTGTATTACACACTCTCAGGCAGATCTTTGATCCAGCTGTAGTATGAACACACCTACATGATAATCCCCACATGTAGGTCCAGCAAAAAGCCAGATGCAGTGTCATGTATTTGAAAGCAATTTCCAGAAATAGCTACTGTGAAATGAGGGACTCTGTCTGCCTAAGGAGAAGCTTGTTCTCACCCTTCCCACGGGTGAGCTGTCCCGACTGCACAGCTGTCCGGGCAGCTGTGACTCTGGATGCCACAACACTCGACACACTGGATGCACACTGTGTGCAAATTGCTTGAGTGAGATGCGATGGCCAGTCTGAGGTTTATGCATCTTTTAAGAAAAGAGGAGGAAGGAAATTATATTATTTCACATTCCACTTAGCAATCTAGAGGTAAAAAGAATTCTTAAAGAATTCTTGTGAATGAGAAGAATACCCAAACACTGGTGGAGTAGACCAAGTCACACATGCAGGAGTAAATTAAGGGCGGGGTGATTGGTTGGGTAAAAAAAAAAAAAAATCTACATTTAACTTTAATTTTCACAGTTAATAGAACAAGTGAGTAGGTTTTTAGCCCCTCTGCAAATAGCCTGCAACTGTCAAACCACAGATCCACCTTTTGTTTCATGTTTGTTTGGATGAGCCAAGAGAAAAAGTTTTGCAATGAGATCAATAATAATTTAAAGCCTGATCCAAGAAAAAAATAGAAATGTATTTCTTCTTAGTCTGAAGTGTTTATTTGGCCATTTAACGAAATCTGAACAAAAAAATTAAACAGAAATAATATTTTAATATCTATTATATATTACCGTGCGATACGTAAAATAATCATTGTCGTGTAGTCTTCTACCCATTGTTATTGTGTATCTGATGGTGCAAAACAGGGTTTTGAGCAATGTTTTTACCATTAAGTGATGCAAAACCTCTAAGATGCAAAATAATACAGAAACCGTATGTGTCATATGAAATATATGGTATTACAGGGTTAAAACAGAATGAAAGACACCTACACACCTCGGTCCGGTAGGTGGCAGTAATGCTGACTATGACCGTCGAATTCGTCAGTAGAAGAAGAAACCTCCGTAGTTGAATTTGAAAACAGGCGGCAGTTGCTACATTGAACAACATATGAAAAGGTAAAGTTTAAAACTGTTAGTAGTTTGAGTTTTCGATGTTGCGCGACACGGTCAAAATAGTTTGATAACTTATTATGCAATAGAATAGCTGCCAGGACGTTACAAGTGCTCGGTGTGTTGTTTTTTTTATTCCTGCTCTTGTTTCTGTGGGAGTTGGGTCGCTGTGGGGTTTGGGGGTTAGCTAACGAGACACCAGAGACCACTGGCCGTGCGAGAGTCCAAAAATACCTTACTGTGAGCATAGTGCGGCGGGTGTTTCGGTAATTCTGCCTATCGCTTTGCTTTTTGTGAAGGAAATATGACGGCTGACAATGAAATGGACATCAAGGAGGCGTTCCAGCGAGCACAGAGGGGCCACAACAACAAGGCTAAGCTAGTGGCGAGCCTCAAGAGCCGCTACAACAAGGTAATGTGTCCTTTTTCTGCACAGAAGTGAACTGGGATTGCCCATAATTCCCATATATCTCGTTTATTTTAGCTTTCCTTTTGATTTTAGGAGCAGAAAACTTTTTTTAGCATAATGGATGAATCTCATAATAAGATTATAGTTTGTTTATGTGCTACTGAAACTATACATAAGGGAAACAATGCATAATCAAGACTCATAAAAAGACTAATTCAAAGGCTAATTATACAAAAAGAACACAATATAGAAACAGCTTGAAATTGAGAATCATCAGTTTATATCTATGTTTACACTTTTCAACTGAATGCTGTAGAGAAAGAATACTTTATGAAAGGCTGTTACAAATATAAAGAAGTTGCAGCCTTCCAAGCATTTCTGTTAATCTTGTTTTTGATCATGGGAGGTGAGAGCTGATATGTCTCGTTCCCCTCTGTGTGAATAGCGCTCCTCGTTTTTTCTTCTTTTTTTTTAAACTCCCTGTCAGCCGTCATCAGTAACACAATCTATCTCATCCTTCAGCTTGAGGACAAGACACTGTTCCATGAGGAGTTTGTCCACTACCTAAAGTACGCAATGATCGTCTACAAACGCGAACCCAGCGTTGAGAATGTCATCGAGTTTGCTGCAAAGTTTGCCTCAAGTTTCCAGCCTCCACCCAAAACAGAAGAAGAGGAGCAACAAGAGGAGGAGGAGGAGGAAGCTGAAGATGAAGATGATCACCCCTTTCTGAGTTTCATCTTCAACTTCCTGTTAGAGGTATATGTTGTTATACTAACTATATTATGCTCTTTTGCCCCATTTTTTCCTGGCTCCTTCTACAAATCTCGTGTCACTGTTTTGACTTTTCCCCTTTTCCTTCTCTGTCTCTCTTCAGTCTCACAAAGCAAACAGTCATGCGGTGCGCTTCCGAGTGTGTCAGCTGATCAACAAGTTGCTGGGCAGCATGGCGGAGAATGCCCAGATCGACGACGATCTCTTTGACCGCATCCACCAAGCCATGCTGGTGCGCGTCACTGACAAATTCCCCAACGTGAGGATTCAGGCTGCTTTGGCCATGACTCGCCTTCAGCAGCCAAAGGATCCCGACTGCCCCACCATCAATGGTTTGTTGAGTTAACTTTTTTTTTTCCTTGGTTACCCTCAAATGTAGGAATTATTAGAAGTCAAAGGCACAGTCTGAGGCCATGATACTTTCTATTATCTGTTTAATCTCAAGTATCTTTGAGAGGGCTTTTGTTTGCTCATTTCTGTGTCATGCTTAGCTGTTCTTTGCTTTTTTAAATGTATTTTTTCAGCATACTTGTTGATTCTGGACAATGATGCCAACGCTGAGGTGCGACGGGCTGTTCTGTCCTGCATAGCGATGTCCCCGAGAACCCTCCCTAAAGTCCTCAAACGCACTCGGGACATCAAGGAGAACGTCCGCAAGTTAGCCTACCAGGTAGATTTTTTAAAGAAGTCTGGGACCCCCTGGTTTGATGTGAAACCTGGTTTTCTTTACAAATTGTCTTTTTATGATTCTGTTTCAGGTTCTTGCTGAAAAAGTTCACATTAAAGCTCTAACTATCGCTCAGAGAGTCAGCCTGCTTCAGCAGGGTCTCCAGGACACCTCAGGTATGGTTGAGTTTGTGTGTGAAGCTTTGCTTTAACAGCCGAATGACGCCTCATTTGAAGCAGAAATCAGGGAGTTTTTTTTCATGGTTTGTTGGAAAAAAAAGGGTCTATCACAGTGATGTGTTGAAATAAAAAATGTTTTCCCTCCTCCCAATCAATGAAATAAGGTATCTCTGACACGGTAGAAGTTAGTGTTTCTATTCATGTCTTACTTCTCTCTCTTCAGAGGCTGTGAGAGAGTTGGTTTGCAGTCGTCTCCTGCCGGCGTGGCTGCTTCGGCTGGATGGAAACGTCATCGAGCTGCTCCACCGTCTGGATGTGGAGAACTGTGCAGAAACAGCAATGGATACGCTGAAGGCCATTTTCAAAAGGACGCCTGCCGAGGAGCTGCCGCAGAACAGAGAACAGTTCGGCGACAGGTACTCTCCCAAGCTCGCCCGTCCAACCAGCGGTTAGTAAAATGTAGGAGGCTGGAGATCAAATGTGTCTTTGTCTTTTTTCCCAAACAGGAAGCTAATCTCGTTGGACTCCCTGACCTGTGAAAATGTGCTGTATTGGAGGGCTCTTTGTGAGTTCTTTAAGGCTAAAGGAGATGAGGGTGATGAAATGCTGGAGCAGGTGTTGCCGGATGCTGCCACATACGCTGAGTACCTCTGTAGGTAAGAGAATGCCAGGATATCCCTTGAATGTCAGTTTATCCCTGTCAGCTGCACGTTTGACCTTTTTGTTAATAATGAATAAACTAACGGCAGTGCCACGTATCAGAGGTAAACGGCTTTTTAAGGATTCATTCTCATTCAAAGGAAATTCCTATTTTAAGGCTACGTTTTTTCCCCTCAGATCTGTGTGTAGACTATTAATGAACCCAAGAACTCTGCAGTCAGAGAAGAGAAACATCAGTTCATTCTAATTAGGCCCTTTCCATTTTTCTTTAATTATCCTCTACAGTGTTCACGGCGGTCAGCTACTTTGCACTCGTTCAACAAAATTAATGTTCAGGTAGTCCTCCTAACGTACCTCCTGCGCTTTTGCCTTACATTTCAAACTATTTTTGGTTTTGTTTACAAGATCAGTGCCCAAAAAAACAAAACAATCTATTTAACACACATTAGAAGCCCAGCACAGCTTCGTTTTCTCAGACTCAAAAGGTAAGTCTATCGTGCAGTGCTTTGGTTGTTTTTGATTGGTGGCGCTCCGCACATCTGTTTTAGCACATGGCTTTGTGTGTATATAATCCATTAATAAATAAATCTGATGCTTACAAAATGCGCTCATTCAACTGCAGAAGGTAAGTGCTCGCTGTGGAGAGTGGTGGTGATTTTAACATTTTTTATTTATTTATTTTTTCTCTGTCTTTCTATAAGGATCTGTTACATTTTTTTAAAGTGTGGTTTCTTTCTCTTTGGTCTCTCTATCGCCCTGTCAGGTTTGGTATTATTTACTACATGTAAGAGAAGTATTGGATAAGGGGGGATTTTAATTCATGAAGTATACAGACTACAGTTCTGCTGCCATAACGCTGAACAGGAGATGGTTAAAAGAAAAAGAACGTGTGGATATCCCTAACCCTACTGTGGCTGATCTGTCCCCCCGACCCGTTGCAGCTATCTTAAGGAGGTGCCCGTGCTGTCAGAGGAACAGAGGGCCGACTTCAACCAGCTGGAGATCGTAATGACCAAAGAGTTCATCTCGCAGCAGCTCATCCACCTCATCCACTGCCTTGATACAAACGAAGAGGGCGGCAGGTCTGGCTTTGCGCGTTGAGTGAATCGACTGTTAGGGTGGTTTGTTTTTAATCCAAAGATTCGTGTGTGTGCAGAAAGCGCGTGCTGGCTGTTCTCCAGGAGATGTTGGTGCTCCCGCAGACCCCGTCCTCTCTGGTGTCCCTGCTCACTGAGAAGCTCCTCCTCCTCATTCCCGACGACCACAGGCGCATCCAAACGGCACGTGACGTTTTTGATCCCCGCGGCGCCGCTTCGTCTGGCCTGATGTTTAACACAGCTGGCTTCCCTCTCTCAGGTGGCCGAAATCATCTCGGATGTGAGGGAACCCATCATGGAGGTGGCTCAGCCAGTGGATGAGAGCGCCAGCCGGCGCCAGCAGGTCCAGGTGGGCAAATCGGGTCAAAGTTCAGGTCCTAAACAAAGGACGCAATCACCTAAACTAAAATAGAATTCCAAGAGGCCCAGACCAGCTGGTTCTCAGAGGGTCCTGAGCGGATCGATTTGTTCTGAGGGTGGATAGAAGCAGGGCATTTTTGCACTGTTCACAAAGCATGTAAAAAAGGGGAATGAATATTCTTATTCTACAAACAATTCACAAATAATGATTCAGTGCAAGGCAACTACTGCGGCCTAAATTCCTCAAAATACCATCACTGACTAATCATTTCCCAGTCGTTTTAAAAATGTCCTCCGCATGTCTCTGTTCTAATTATACTCCCATTTAGTCTGTCCGCTTCTGTTCTTCGTTCCTCTTCTACCTCCAGCTGACAGATGGTTTATATTTGGAAGCGAAACATATTTTAACAAGTGGAGTGAAAGATGCACTCTGTGCGCCTCTCGCTTTGTCAGTTTTCTTCTTTTTTTGGCTTTGTTGAACCTTTTAATGGGCGTTCATGCTCAGTGATTGTTGATCCGTCCTTGATCTCTTCTGTGAACTCTGTTTGAGGCCGATTAACGTCTAAAATCATGCGTCCTGTCCCAAGTGTTACCCATGCTACGGACTGGTCTCCCATGGCTGTGTGAGTAAAGGCCACCAGAGGGTTGTGACCTGGCCCCGAGCCTCAGCGGCTGCTGTTTTTCCTCTCAGTGGAAGCACAGTTGGTCTCAAGTGTCTCCTTCTCCTCCCACACAGCTCGCAGAGGTGAAGGTGCGCATCATGGAGGCCAAGCAAACCCTGGAGGACTGCATCGTGGCGCAGGATTTCAGCCAAGCAGCAGAGCTGAAGAGCTCCATCACAGACCTGGAGGCCCGCCGGAACCAAATCATCCAGGAGATGGCAGAGAGCAATCAGCCAGCAGACAAGGAGGTCCGCTCCGAGAAGGTACAGACGGAGACATGACATCACCTTTTTCCCCATTCAGAGCACGTGTCCTCAACACTTTGTCTTTTTCTTGTCTTCCAGAGTGACCCAGAGACTCTCTTGAGGTGTCTGACAATGTGCGCCGAGCTGCTGAAGCAGATGAACATCAAGACTCGAATCGGTCCCACCATAAGCGGCTTAATGTCCTCGCTGGTAAAAAGTCTGAACTATACTTCCATCGTCTTAGGAGAGCAGTCTGGTATTTGGCTGTGACTTAGTATTGTAATAACGATGAACAAACTCTGTCTTCTTCACGCTATGGAGGACCTCACTCTTTGTGAGCAGGGAGAGGCTATAAAAAGATATCAAAACAGCTCCAACTGGAGCTAAAAGTAGCTCTTTAGGGAAGCTGAGGCAGTCGAGGTTGCGAGGAAAACTGTCAGCTCGAGTAGAATACTAGAGAGAGCGTTTCACCTTTATTCCACAGCCCGGTCTGCATGGAGCCATCAGAGAGAATCTTTCCATTCAACCAAAACCCAAAAGTCAATACTACACAAACAAAAACAAGGCCTTCAGACATTTGTGCTGCTTAAAAAAAGAACAGGCCAGGCAGTCTGAAGAATATTTCATCAGCTTTGCAGAGTGACTAAACGTTCCTGGATCGATAATACAAAACGCAAACAGTTTGTGTTATAAGAAAGTCTGTATAGTGCTGACTTTGAAAGGGGCCCAAATATATTGTTAATGTGCCTCTGGCGAAAAGCGTCAGTGGACCTTCGCTTGAGTTCAACAATCAGTAAAAATCTGTCACTTTTGGAGGGGCTACCTGAACATTTGCATGTCTCAATATGAAGTTACAGCCAGTATACATTCGTATCTCTGAGTAGTCTGAATGTTTTGAATTTGATTATAACTCTCTCCATTCCCGTCAGATTCTTCCCAGCATTGCCAACTCCCAGCCAGCCGTGCGCAACATGGCCGTGGTGTGTCTGGGAACATGCACCCTGCACAGCAAGGAGCTGGCCATAACCCACATGGTGCTGCTGCTGCAGGTGACCTCACGCAGATGTTTCAAATGTCTGAAACTCTTTTCCTTTTCATTCCTCCTCCGCATTCCATTTGTTAGTCACTCTGAACTACTTTCAGATTAAAAAAGAAAAGGTTCAGCATCATAGCTGCTGGTAATTCATGTAAGCCGAATACAAACCTCTCCTTTTAGTCAGTAGAAACAGGGACCTCTGCAGGTGTTTTCTGAGAGCCTGAAAAAAACCCCAAAAAAAAAACTTAAAGAGTCTGACTCTGCTCTGATTTCCAGATTGCCCAGCTGGATGAGGTGAAGATCCGGATCAGCGCTCTGCGGGCCGTCGTCGACCTGTTGCTGCTCTTCGGCTTCCAGCTCCTGTCTGACAGCACGTCCACTCAGACGGCCAATCCCAGCCCGTCGGCCGAGAAGCAGGACGCGGCTCCGGCCGAGGGCAAGCCGGAGGACACCGCGCAGAGCGTCCTGCTGATGCTGTCCGAGTTCCTGGACAGCGAGGTGAGGCGGGGGCGTCCAAAACGCGCCGGGCTGTCGGGGTTTTGGCGGGGGGATTCTAAAGGCGGCGTGTGGCCGCCCATCTCAGGTGTCGGATCTGCGGACGGAGGCGGCGGAGGGCCTGGCCAGACTCATGTACACGGGCCGCATCTCCAGCGCCAAAATGCTGTCGCGCCTGATCCTGCTGTGGTACAACCCCGTCACCGAGGACGACACGCGCCTGCGCCACTGCCTGGGCGTCTTCTTCCAGCTCTACGCCCGCGAGAGCAGGTCCCCCACGCCGCACGCACCGACCGGTCAGCCGCACCGGCCCGGAGGCCACGCCCCCCGAACTGACAGTCTACCCCCTTTTTGTGCGCATCAGAGCCCACCAGGAGGTCGTGGAGGAGAGCTTCCTGCCAACAATCCGGACGCTGGTGAACGCCCCGGCCACCTCCCCCCTGGCCGAGGTGGACATCGGTAACGTGGTGGAGCTCATCGTGGAGCTGACCCGCCAGAGCGCACTCATCAGACCCCCCTCCAACACCGAGGTAAGCGGCGCCACGCCAGCGCCGTTTAAACCGCCGCGATGTCATGGATAATTTGGCCTGACGTGCCCCCCCCCCCCCCCTCAGGAGGTGTGCGTCCACGACTACCTGGCCGTCCGCATGTGTGGGGAGATGCTGAAGGACCCGGCGGCCCCAGAGGCTCGGCTCTACGCCAAAGCCCTGAGCAGCCTGGAGCTGAGCCG